GGCCGCGCTCCCGCCCCGCGCTCCCGCCCCGCGCTCCCGCCGCCTGCTTCGCGCTCCCGCCGCGCGTTCCCATGGCGCTGAAGCGGATACAAAAAGTGAGTGGGGCCGAGCCGTGGGAGGGGGCGGAAAGGTCCCCCTGCGCTCGGGCGGCCGCGGGGGCTGCCCCCTTGTTGCGGGGGTCGAGGCGGCGGCCGGAGCGGGCTCAGCGAGCCGCGCGCTTTCTTTGCCGGGACTCGTCCTTCCCTCGCCGGCAGCTGGGGAAGAGGAGCGGGTGTGAGACGGAGAAGGGGGGCTCTAGCCGGCCTCCTCACGGTTTCGGGACTGTGCCTCCTGGGAGGCCCCGCACCCCGAGTCGGGGCTTTGAGGCGCCGTTCGCGGAGCAGCCGCGGGGAGAGCGGGGTGCGGTGGGGAGAGCCGGGGGAGCGGGGAGAGCCGGGGGAGCGGGGAGAGCCGTGGGGAGAGCCGGGCGCCGAGGGGAGCCGAGCCTTCCCTCGCTGCCCGCCTTGAAGTGCTGTCAGCATGGCTCTTGCTGTGACCTCTGAGCGTACCCCGGCTGTCGTGTTTTGGGCTGATACGTGTAAATGGCCTGGTAATTCCCGGTTTCCTTTTGTTCGGCGAGGCTGAGCCGGTGGCTGTGCAGTGCATCGCAGCACGGCAGGGAGCTGAGCTTGGTGCTTCGGCCGTGGAGCAGAGCCCGGGCTGTTTGGCTGCTCTTGCTGTGCCATATTTAGGCGGCATCGGTGCCATCCTGGTTACGTGACGGTGCGATTATTTCTTGTGCAGGATTCCCTTTTGCTATCGGAAGCCATTGGTATTGCGGAAATAGGATTCTGTAGTGACCGATTAACCCCACAGCAGGCAGGTTTGGGATACTCTACAGCAAGTACCAACTTTGGATGGATTTCTACTAGAAGCTGGTAGTCCTGCTTCATGGTGCAAAGCTTATCCCTTTACACACAGTGCAATCACAGAACAATTTTGTACCTTCATATCACATATTTGTCATGAATGTTGCATTCGACCAATATATCAAACTACTACAGTGGTTTTCTTTAGCAATAACTTTGTCGTACTTCTACATATTATACAAATGTTTTGCCTCTTGCCACTTTAATTTCCCACATCTTGAACATCTCTTTAGTTTCAAGAAAAGCATTATTCTGAATACTATCTCTTTCCAATTCTTGTTCATCTTCTTTCTGCTAAGATAAAGAGACAGAGGGGAAAGTCTGGTAATCTAGTATTTTTGAGATGGAAAAAAGCATTATTCTGAATACTATCTCTTTCCAATTCTTGTTCATCTTTCTGCTAAGATAAAGAGACAAAGGGGAAAGTCTGGTAATCTAGTGTTTTTGAGATAGAGTGGTTGTTTGGGGCTTTCCAAATGAGGAAATAGAATGGAATTAGTCTTCATACTTTTATCATGTTCCCTACATAACTTTCTTTCTGGTTTAGAGATATTCATACATATTGGAAAGCCACAATTTTCTTTATTGTGGCATTTAAGAACTTTTGATAGATGTTAGACTTTTTATCTAAGTATCTTTTATTCTGTTAGCCTTATTAAATTCTGATTCTACTCTTTCAAAATGAAGCTATGCTTTCCAGCCTGCTGATTTCTGGTTTAGAGATATTCATACATATTGGAAAGCCACAATTTTCTTTAATGTGGCATTTAAGAACTTTTGATAGATGTGAAATTATGGTTAGACCTTTTATCTAAGTATATTTTATTCTGTTAGCCTTATTAAATTCTGTTTCTACTCTCAAAATGAAGCGATGCTTTCCAACCTGCTGTGAGGTGCTATGAGATTTCCTGATTATACAAATACACTTCTACCTGAAACATGAAGAGATGCTGGGTAAGGACCTCCAAGAAGAGTAGAGATTAAATTCAGAACTAGTTACCACTTGCTGCTAGTTTGCTGCAGAAATGACTGCTGCTGGTTTTCTTTTTTTTCCATTAACTACCCTCATCGCTCTCTTCTGCCTTTCCAGGAGAAGAAAAAATTCTACTGGAGGGATTTGGCTAGCAGTCTTTCTCTCAAGAAGTAGAAGAGGAAAGGGAATGGCAAGGAAATAAGTTTGTTTCAAGTGGAAAGCTCAAATGACGTGGAGAAGTTTGAAAAGACAAACTATTTTGATGTCATTGTAATACATAAAATTTTCCTCAAAGATCATGGGAATGGAAGTTTAATGGTAGATGAAATGTATTTATATGTTGGTGTGTTTGTCTCCTCTGCTTTCCTGGTGTTTCAGACTGGCTGTAAAGGTTTTTAGTTATGTTATATCTGAAGGATAGGAAGGGATAAGATCTGGAGTAGAGGAAGTGCTGTGGTTTCAGAGTGCCTAGAGGAATTCTTTGGAGAACAAAACACTGTCAGCAAACACAGTGGCATTGCTTGGAGCTCATCCGTCTAGACAGACTGTCTGAAGTTAAGCTTCAGTGGGTTTGGGGTGCTTCAGAATTGTGCTTAAACAAAGGAATTTTAGTGTCAAGCTTGAGTGTTTGTTCACAGTAGTTTTGATAATTTGTGTGTTCAGTGTGACAACACCTACAAAGGAAGCAAAGCTATAATATGTCAACCTGTTAGTAAGCATATTTTTGTCATACTGATTGGGACTCTGATTTCTAAGTGATATTGCCACTGGGATCTGTGTCATTGCATCCTGCCTTTGGCTGATCATCTTCAAGGGGCTCCTCAAAGGAGGATAGCCTGTGGACTTCCAAGACTAGTCACAGAAAGACATTTGTGCTTGGCAGCTTTCTTTAAAAATGGGCAACTGAGTAACCAGTGGAGAAGCTGATCCCTGCCCATGGAGGCATGTTGATCCTAGTGCTGTAGGTGGGAGAACAGTGTGGACATGAAGCCCTGCTTCTGTCAGCAGCATCTCCATGACAAACTCATCTCAGAGTCCCTCAGAGAATTTGGGGTCAGGGGATTCTTATTCATCATAAGCTGAGGATCCTGTGTTCATTTGCCTTGTGAGTGCTTTGCTGTTGTAGGAGAGAGGCACTGAATTTCTACACTCTCAAAAAAGCTCAATTACACTCTCTGTGATGTTCCTTGGGGCGGTGAAAGAACAGCACATTTTTGTGGGCAGTGTAAATTCCAGATGCTGCAAATGATGAAAGCAAAACAAATAGTGTTTTAGCTGGGAAGAAATACTGTGCAAAGAAGCCTTTATTCTTGCCACCTCTGGAAAGTGAGATACCATGACTTTTGTGAAAGGTGGAAAATAATTCAGGCTGTCAGGTTCTGCAAAATAGTGTGTAGGTCTCAGTTCTGCCCATCTGTCTTATGCAGAACCATTTTTCTGGGGTTCCTGTCCAAATTCTTTGGTCACATATCTAATTTGCAGAGTTTGCCATCCTGTTAGTTCCATATTGCAGCTGGGATTGTTTTCATCATAAGTCCTTTACTTGGGTAAAGAACATGAACAAGCACATCAACCTCCACTCCAGTGTTAGTGGGAGGTTGATGTGCTTGTTCATGTTCAGGTGTAAAAAAATAGAACTTCAAGAGGTTTTAGTGGACATTTTGAAATCAAGAAGGAAGAGATAGATTTGAACACTGCTTTAAGAATAGCTGTTGTTCTTATCTTATTGATATATAGTGCTTGATTGGTTTTCTCCTACAACTCAGTAAGAACAGAAGCCTTCAAACATTCAGTTGTTTCAATGAACTGTAGGTCTCTGTGGTTCAGTGTGTTTCATATATGCATAGGCTAACAGGACATACTAACTTGAAAAGTTTTGTTGAAAATAATACTTTTGTAACTGTAAATTGACTCAAATAAAAAATTGATATTTGTGGTTTAGATTTTGACTTTAAACCTGCAGCCTTTAGATGGTAATCAGCATAACAAGGAAACTTTTTTGGCTCTAACATGAAGTATTTGAATTTGCTTTCAAAACTTCAGCTGGGATACTACATATTTTAGCAAATTTTTTTTGCATTGAAATAGAACATGGAAATATAATATTTATTACTGACAAAACATGATAGCAATAAATCTTATTAAAAATATGTGCTTTATATTTCCCAAATTTGTGAAGAACCAGAAAATACTTTAACTAGTCTTAAGTATGATCACTGTGAGGTTTTATGACAAATGGTCCCAAACAGCAGTGTATGCATGGAATTGGTAGGAAATGAGTCTGTGCTCTACAATGCATTTTGTGCAAGAAATTAAGAACACAATTGACAAATATAAATCTATATTTTAAATAATAGTGTGGAGAAAGGTTGTGGTTTTGTGTTGTTTGGAGAATGAAAATAGCTTTTAGTGATGCTGTCTGCAGTTTATTTTGGTCTTCAGATAATCTGCAGTCTTTTTTTCTGAATTTTTTTTTTCTACTGAAAAAAAAGACATGTTTAGGACATCTATGCTGAAAAGATTTATTTCCTTACTACCAAAATATCCTTTACAATGTTGTTCCAGTAGCTTTTTGGGAGAAAAGCCTGAATGCTAATCAAGCATGTAAGTGTTAAATTGGCCTTGCAGTCTTCAACTTCTTATGAAATACATCCTGTATTATTCTTTGACCGTGGGTATTTTCTGCACATTCAGAAATGTCTCCAACATTTATAGCTTACCACAGCCTGCTTTTTACAGCTGTTAAACTTGAATTTGTGCTTCATGCTGTCTATAGGGCTGTTCAGGAGCACTCGTGGTGCAAGGGAAGGTGATCATTTGGAGGCTTTGCCCATCTCCAGTCGTGTGTTAACCATTAGCATTCTATTCTACCCTGAAATGTTTTGTAGAGAGGATTAGAGGATTTATTCCTACCACTGTCCCCAGCTTAGGTATTTTTCTCCGTGGTTGTTGATCCTGGCTGTGCTGGGGTAGTGTGGCATGTGTTGCAGCTCTTGAGAGGTGCTTTTATGTTGTTACAGTCATTTTATGTTACAGTGTTGGAAATCACTCCTCCTTCTGATGCATCTCTTGCAGACAGAATCTTGGGGTTGTGTATTCTCATAAAAGATGTTGCACCAGTGTACACTGGTGACTTTTTCTGTTGAAAATGAATCTGAAAATGAGCTGTGGATCCTGTTTGTCAGCAAATGTGCATCTTGCACCAGCACTTTCTATACCAGTGGCTAAAAGTATTCGTGCAGACCCTGGAAGTGACCAGACCTGCATCATGCAGCTACATGGTAATAATCCATAAAGCTTGGACAAAGCTGCTTAACTTAAAATTACAGGGCAATCTCTAGTTGACTGTCTAGTGCCTCACGTGCAGTTAGCTTGTGCTTCTTGATGAGGTTTCAGCATGTTAAACTTTGTGAATCTTCAGCCTTGTCCCTTTACAAAGCAAGGTTTTGGCCTTCTTCTAAAGAGCATCTGTGCTTTGTATTGAGAATTTTTGTATTCTCATTCTTTTGTGAATAAATGAAGTCATGAAGAAGTCTTTCTACATGTATTTAGAGGATCCTCATTTCTGTTCTGCAGTGTTCAACTCTGGGCACTGGCAGGTCAGTCTGATTCAGGGACATCTGAGTATCTCCTTGCCCCATTTCAAAAAGTGCAGGAAAGCTTGAAGCCTAAATCTTACAGCTCTCCAGATAATTTTGCTTTGAACCTAAAGCTTAAACAGCATAATCAACAATGTGAATCTGAATAGTTCTTCCTTTTTATCACAGCTTGATCTGAATTTCTGTACATAAAGATTCAAACTGTTCATACTGTTGGATCGTGTTACCACTTGTATTTTTAAACCACATTAGCTTTACATATGGATGCAAAATGCAGCTTGAATTTGCTCTACTGATTTTGAAGTTTGATCTGGCTTTATGTTTCACAGCTGCAGAAGGTCTCAATGTATTTGTGAACATCACTCTCATTTGGTGAAGTTGATTGAAGAGAACCTTTTCTTCATTGTTGTTAGGAAGTTTTATTAACAGGGATTTATAGTTGTGGGTCTCATCAATGTCTGATGAAAAATATTTGCTGTTTTTTTCTAATAATGAACAGATGTCAGTGCCTTTTTAGCCTGAACAAATTGAAGTGTACACCCGAGGAGCATTCCCCAGTTCTGTTAATTCTTAAGTACAAGTGTATATATGAAAGAAAATAAACTTGTGTGGTTTTGGGGTATGTAAAGATCTTGATGAATACATCTAGCAACAAAAGCACTGTTACAGACCTGTGACTCTGCCTGGTTGCCTGGTAGTTCCCGTATGCATATGGAATGTTTACATATACTTCAAAGACTTTCTGAAAAGTTCAAGCTACATATTTTTCCAGTTCCTGCCTTGAATTTAGTAGTCAATAATGACTGTTGCAAAATGCATGATTGTTAGGCAGAGTTCTTGTTCCAGCGCTGTAGTGCAGCTGTTTGGTCTTGGTTGGGTTGTTTTAGTGTGTGTACAAGACTTAACCTTCTGTTGTTGGGTTAGATCTTGAGTTGCAAATTCGAGAAGACGGTGCCAGTAACAGCTCTGCTGCTGGCCATGTTTGTCTCTGGTGACTGCTGGAAACCTGAGATTTGTTGACTGCCTGTGTGTACTGGCAGTGGCTTGGCTTTGCATAAATAGCTGGTTCTCTGAATCACTCCTTAACGAAACATGAGTCCTCTGATTAAAATAGGAACTGCATTTCTAAAGTGCCTGTATTAGTTAAAGTCCAGCCCAGAGTGTTCTTTCTGGATCAGCATGCAGTGTCACCAACAGAATAAAGTTAAAGTGCAGACAAGTAATGCCAGCTGACAACCTGTGCTGTTTGAGTATAGGAAAAAGTGTCTGTCTTGTTTAAATCACGAGATTGTGAGAAGTCACTTCAGAGCAGGAGTAAGATATGGTGCAGTGCTTTTCTTTGATTTCAGGGCCAACAGTGGAGCTGTAAGTCTGCCTGAATTTAGGTGTTGGGTCCATGGTAAATTGAGTTGAAATATTTACTGGATATCATAAATGGAAAAATACATCACAGCAGTTGAGAAGTGCAGATTTTTAACCCTTCAAATTATATGTAAGGCCTGATCAGACTAAGTACATCAATTCTACACTTGAGTTAAACTTAGTTTAAACCTTGAATTTGTAAGTAGTTGTCTTGACTAAGTAGAAGTGTTTCTGGTGTTACTCCTTAAGGTAAACTCATAGACCTGCTTATGTCTATTGTCAACTTAATGTGCATGTTTTGAGTAAGGAATTGAGTTACTTACAGACACACACCCTTTAACTTATTTCAAAGGAAGTACTTGCATGTGGTCATTCAAGTTTCTACAGCACAGTTTCTATCAGCCTAGAATTGGAAAAAGTTTTCCTTAGTACAGTCAAATTCAGACATCAAAAGGAGTATATTGAATTAAATGAGGAAAATTAACTGAAACTACTGTCTGCTTGTTTGAAATAGTGATGATAAATCAGATGAAAAACAGTGCTGGTTTTGTGAAATCACATTATATTTTTAAATTATTTGGGACTGTGTGGTCTCCAGCAAGAGAAATAAATCAGATGATAATCAAAAGCTCTTCTGAGTTATTAAGTTTCAACTTGGGAGTTTTTTAGTAGTCATTTAAAAAAAAAAGCAAGCATGCAGGGGATTGAATCAAGGTAAATAAGGTGTAGAGCTAATATATTTCCTTTAGGTTCCAATTTAGTTAGAACCCTTTATATTATGTTCATACATCATCTCCAGGCAGGCTGCAAACATTTTATAGGCCAATTAAGCTCAGCTGATGTCCATAGACTAGGACAACACAGAAACTTTTGTAAAATCAAAAGCTAAGGGAATGATCACATTAGCACCTAACTAAATTAAACTGTGAGTTTACAGACTAATCAAGAAACCCTTTTTATTGGTTTTGTCTCCTTCAAGTATATTGAACTTAGTATGAACTTGGTTGCAACTCTAAAATTCTTCCAGATATTAATTCCTAGCAGTGTTAGCTGCAGGTCATCTGGCAAAAAAATTTATTCAGTTTCAATGGACATTTCAAGTGTTGACTGTTTTATCAAAATACCACAAAAAATGCCCACGGGTTTAATAAAATTGGTTTGTGTTCCCACTTTTGCAGGCATGCTGCCAAGTGGTCTGGATTTTCATGTCTTTCAAATATTTCTGTGTTTCTTGCAGGAACTAAGTGATCTGCAGCGAGATCCACCAGCCCACTGTTCTGCTGGACCTGTTGGAGATGACTGTAAGCTCCTCCTAGAACATTCAGTACATTTCAGTTCTGGAAGGGCTCAGAAAATCTCTAATTGTTGCATCTTTTGCCTTTCAGTGTTTCATTGGCAAGCAACTATTATGGGACCTGTAAGTATAGGAATCGTGCCCCTTAAAATGTAAGACCTTGCTTCTCTTTTTGTTACAGAAGGATTCATTTGGGTTTCTGTAAATATAGCAGCCACATTCAGCTGTGCTGTGAATAGCCTAAATAGCCTAAAACTAGGGTGATATTGTTGTTCTTATTAGTCTGGTACCAGTTGCTTTCTGTAACTCCTCAAAAATCCCTCCTCTTCATGAAGTTAGAGGTGTTTAATTGGTCAGCTGTGGTGTGTGAGTTGGTGATATGGGCTACAAAGCAAAGAGCTTGCTTTTCATAGATGATCAATTCTGGAAGATTCATCTATCTGAAAGGAGTGGAGTTGGTGATATGGGCTACAAAGCAAAGAGCTTGCTTTTCATAGGATCAGTTCTGGAAGATTCATCCATTTGAAAGGAGGAAGAGTGGGTGAAATCTGATATTAAAGTTGGTAACTGTAAACAAGAGTGGAGTTGCAGAGGGCATTTAGATGGAGCTTATTTTATTTGATAATGTGCAACCTGGACATAAACCTTTGCACATGTTGTCTGACAAAATGCATGTGCACAGATTTGTGCAGGTCACAAAGATGTTGTGTGTTTTAAAACTCCCTGATACCATCATGATGAACTGAATTATATTGGAAAATCCCACTCTTTGCATCTGCAAAGAGAAACCACTTCTTAGGGTAAGTATGTTTGTAGCTTAAGAATGGAGGAAGATCAGAGCAGCTGTGGTCTTGCACAGGGACAGGATTTGGAGGGCCTGCTCTGGTTTGTGTATTCCCTTCCTGCAGTGAAGCTGTTTGGCTCCCTCTTTCTCCCCAAAGGGCAGTGCTCAGTAACTGTGGTGCTGCCACAGTTGGCTCTACTGTAACTCTGCAGGCCAGTGGGAGGGTTCACTTCCCTCTGCGCCTTCCCAGTTTGTGGCCCATAGTGGGCTATGTGCTGGGGAAAAAATGGATTTTCTTTAGGAGAAGGAAAGCTCCAAAACAGCTGAAATATATTAATCTGTTTTATCTGTTCTGTTTTTTTTCTCAGCCTGATAGTGCATATCAAGGGGGAGTATTTTTTCTCACAGTACACTTTCCAACAGACTATCCTTTCAAACCACCAAAGGTAAGTCCTTTCTTTTAAGGAAAGGAAGTTTTTAGCTCAAAGTTTATGCTTTGAGGCTTAATTTTGGAAGTTAAACCAGAAACGTGAGCAATAGTGTATACATGTTTTTCATGGATACAGATAAGACTGTCACAAAATTGTGTTGGCAGATCTGATACAACTGGAAAGGAAGGGATGATCTTAAGAATTCCAAATGTAATCACCCTAATCTGATATTACTTGTTTTTTATTTCTTTTTTATTACAGATTGCTTTTACAACAAAAATATATCACCCAAACATAAACAGTAATGGGAGTATTTGTCTTGATATCTTGAGATCACAATGGTCACCAGCTCTGACTGTTTCTAAAGGTAAACTCACTGATTTGATAATGCATGTGTGAAGCTGCATACACTGCCATGGCACTTCTTTTGTGTATTATTGCACTGTCTTAAAGGTAAACAGTGGGAATTCCTTTATCCTGCATGTTTCAGAAGAGGCAAATTCCATTGGAATTCTTGGTATGATCCAAGATCTTGTGCAGTTTATTGGGAGTGTCACATTACCAAAAAAAAAAAGCATGCACAGCAAAGAAATATTCTAAACCAAGCTGGGTGAGATAATAATGTACATTTAGCCTGAAATGTGATAGCTGACTGTGCATGCTGAATGGAGGAGAAATGATGAGCAGGGCTTGAAAATCACAACTTGGAAGTAAATGTGAAACCCTGATACTGACCTTATGGGAGCTTACATGATTGCCTGTTGATGACTCTTTGGACTAAGGTCTTGATTACACTTTCTTTAAAAATGAGGTAATTTGTTCTGGTTTGCATTCCTTTGTAAGATGAATATTTCAAAATGTAGCTCCTTTCACAGTCATCAGTAAAAGTTTTATTAAAATATTCTCATCCTCTAGTTAAGCTTTCTCAAAACTTGAACACTGTAGATTTCTGGAACGTTGAGTTAACAGTTAAGCAGTTCTTTTGCTGCAGGCATTTTGTGGCACTTAAAAAGCTGCTTAAAATGTGGGTGTTGTTGTTTCTTCTCACCCGTCTTCAAATTGCTAAGGCACACTTAGTCATACTACAGAAATTTCTCCTGTGACTCAAAAGGTCAAGCCATATCACATCTCCTGTACTTGGGAGCTCTGAGCTGTGTGCCAAGGTGTCACTGCACTGGGTGTACAAGCAAAGAAAAAACTCTGGGTCTTTGGCCAGTGGAAATTGCTCTGTGCAAGTCCACTTGGAAAAACAACTTCTCCTGCTTACAGGCCTGTGCAGTAATCTCACAAGCCATATAAATGTAAGTCTAATATTCTGTTTCCTGAAGTCATTGCTAAAGACATCAATTACTCTTATGTGTAATTGGTATAATTTTTTCCCACATAAATTAGTTGTTTTATAGCTATCCAAAAATTGTCTTGTTTCTAGTTATTAACCAAATGAAAATTGGCACTTAGGTTTAACAGCTGGCATCTATAACTGAAAACCTGTAAAATTTTTAGATCTTCAGCAATTTTCTGTCTATTTACTTGCTGAGCATTCTTTGGTTATAAAGTGGAGCAGTCTGCTGGTCTCATGTTCAGATATTATGTATTTCATAAACTGGAAGTTAGCTCAGTGACTCATGGAAGTTTCTCCTTTCTAGTCTTTGAATCAAAAGTTTGGAGCATATTATAGCACCTCTGACCATCTGTGTGAGCATGTATTCCAACCTGATTTTCTGATATTACTGGCACTTAAAATGAGTCAGTACTGAAGTGAGTGAAATTTCTGCTCCTGAAAATAGGTGTGGGTTCTTGGGTAACAAGATGAAGCAGGGGGAAAAAAGGTTCTACAGTTGTTCTTATGGCAGCATGAAGTTCCCTTTCACCACATATTTAGAATAATTTAACTGTGTACTCTTGTGTGCATATTATTTCTGAGCATAAAAATAGAATTTGCCTGAGAAGTATGGCCTGAAGATGTTAGGAAAAAAATCCAACCTCCTTGGTTCAATACCAGGAAATTAATATGAAATGATAAGTGAATACCTGTATTAAATGCTGATCAAGTATTTCCCAAAATGGCAGTCACACTTAGGTAAAATACTCTTATGATTGAGAGAATAACTGTCAGCACAGAAGTGGAAAAGGATATTCACAAATAGAGTACTGCATGGCAATGTAATATTAATAATATTAGTACCTTAAATGCAGGTGGAAGGCTTAGTGTGAGCAATATCTATATGTACCTGTAGTCTGCAGGTGGGTTCCTAGGCTTGGATGTGGAGAGAGATCATCACAAAAGGTACAGGTGCATGGCTGCAGATCCCCTGGGCTTGTATCAGGTGTTTGCTTAGGCCCTGGAAAAATGATGCTGTATAAACATTTCTGGACAAAACTGTTAAATGACAGCTTAATACTAACAGGCATTCTTTTCCCTATACCCTCCTCCCACCTCCTTCAGTATACTGGAATATATTAAAGGATTGTAGAAATCAAACTAACTTGTTTAATCTAGTGTCTCTTTTATTTAGTTTTATTGTCCATATGCTCCTTACTTTGTGATCCTAATCCAGATGATCCTTTAGTACCAGATATTGCACAGATCTACAAGTCAGACAAGGAAAAGTGAGTATAACATACATAATTGTGTGTGTGGCTGTCTGCTGTGCACCTTCCATATTAACTTTAGCAATACCCTTTTCCTAGACTTCCACAGGATTAGCTCTTTAAATATTGAGAATAGCCATGGCAAGTAGAAAACTGTAGGCATACACAGGTGTTGGTAACTAATTTTTTTATACTTAATTAAATAAGACAATCCTGCTTTTGTGTAACAGATGGATTGCATGAAAAATTATTTTCCCAAATATGAGTTATTTGTTGCTACTGCAATCCTCTGGTTGTAAAACCTGTACAGAAGAATTTCTGACCTTCTGTTTGACTGAGTTATTTGGTACCTGTTTTTCAGTTGAGCCATAGAAAACTTCTTGCAGTGTATGCAGTGGCCTGTGGCTCAACACATGTCACAGACTGAGGAAGATTTGAGGATTGCTTTTACCTTGAGCAGTAGACAGCAAAGGAGTATGGAGAAGTTACATGGACATCTGTGGTCTAGTATTATTTCTCTGCCCAGACTAAGAATTATTAAAATGGCCTTTTTCTCAGTTCAGTGTCTGGTATAGTCCAGCCATGTAACTTCTGAAGTGCCTGAATGCTGTAGCTCCTTCTGCAAAGAGAAGGTGTTCAAGTTGAGGATGCTGTCTATCAGCTTCTCCTCATTTGTGGCTCAACTTTTTTCCACTCACCTCCTTATTAGTGATTTCAGCTGTTGTGCCTCCTGCTTGTGAAGGAATGGAATGAGGGATGGCTTTCTATCTCCAAATCTCAAAATTTCATCATTGCTAGGGAAAGTGAGAAAATAGGTAGTCTTCACTGTAGCTTTGTCTTCTTATGATGATCACCTAGTAATTTTTTTTTTTGTTGTTTTACCTTGGATTTAGGAAATGAAAGATATGGCTGGTTACCCCTGAGCATTTATCTATGAGTATTTTACTATAAGTTAAAATTCAAAGACTTGTATGGTAGCATATTTTCAAGAAGAAAACCAATTAGTAAATGAGTTGCTATACTGATCTTAAGAGTTAAAAACTTGTCAGAATTTTTCTCTGGTTAACTCAAGAAAGTGAATCCAGTCTGAAGAGTAGAATGTAGCAAATGGAAGGATCAGAGTGGAAGCTATCAATTCTATAAGGACATGTACCCTTGGGATTATGGAATTATAAAATTAATCAGCTTCATACCAGAAGGAAAAGACCCAAGACTTAAAACCTAGTAAAAATGCTTTTCAGAAAATTTTCTTTTCAAGTTCTGAAATGCAGCTGGCAGTGCAGAACGGAGAATAAAATCCCAGTTAATGATACTGAATTTTGTGGGACTAAAATGTGTAAACTTTGTCAGACTCTTAATACCATGTGCCTTTAGGAGTAATTGACAACAAATTCCTGTTAAGGTGCAAATAAGGGAAGCAGTTACGAAATACAAATGAAGGATGCACAATTTAATGCAAACCTGTGAAGTTTGGTTTGGGTCTGAGTAGCTCTGATACTGATACCTCAGAAACTGAATGTGTAGTGGGTGTATACTTTTGGCTTTTAGACTGCTTTGATGTCCTTTGGCTCAGCTCAGAGGTGCAAAGCCTGTGTGTAAGTAAATAGGTGGCCACTGTCAGTGTATCACTAACAGCTCCTCACTGTAATGCCTTCTTTCTGCACGTACAGATACAACAGACATGCGAGAGAATGGACTCAGAAATATGCAATGTAAACTTTTGAAGACCTTTTCATATACCACAGAGTACTGTAAATTCTAGTTTTTTTCAAAATTAGAAGGAAATGGAGCACAGTTTATGGTTTCAATGTGACACCCCTTGAATTTTTTTTCACCCGTGTAAGTGTGTTTCTGGAGCAACAGAGAACAAACTTCTGAAAATAACCTTATGACTTTGATAAGAATATTTATCCTCTTTGTATGCTTTGCAGAAGACATTTATTATAGTTTTTAAGAGTTGGACACCTGCATCTTCAGACTACAAGATCTATAATTCAGTTGTAAATCAATGAAATTATTTTTGCTGGAAAAAGTAGCTGTTTTCATGTGATGAATACTGTATGTGTGTCATTGAAGTATGTTGTCTGTTTCATACGTGTGTTCAAGTTTCTTTTTGTTAGTTCTCTTGTATAATTTGTATTTTTTTATTGTATAGACTATTTTATTTACAATGTAAGTCATTTCAGTTTAGACTTGCTTGTGCACAGTATTGACAAGATACAAACTGCTAACAGTGAAAATAATTGGAGTATCTCACCCATTAGAATATTCTGAAGACTGACTGCAGACTTCTTAAAACCTAAAATGATCTTTGCACTGTAAATCTTTGTATGCTGATTATGGAGAAACACTTGGTTTTGATTCTGTTGCATACTTGACTTAATTTTATTGCAATGTGAACTAATTGCACTGGTATGTAGAAAGATATGTAACTATTTTGTTGCTATTCACAACTGATTTGTGACGTGTGGGCAACATAATACTATCACAGACCTTTTACAAATCCAGATGTAGCCTTTTCCATATAAATAAAATACATTTTCTACTTTCCTTGGCTATTTTTTTATCGTAACTCCTGCATATCCTTAAAGTACTTGTTGCAACATTCTAACAGAGAGCTGCCAGCAGTGTGTGTGTCCAACAAAGCCATCCTTTATCATGGCATCAGGTGCTACTTAGAACTGGGCTCTGAGTTCATTTTTATGCTAGCTCTAGCCTAGTGGAGTTAGCATCCCTTACACATTGTTGGACAGAGGATTTCAAATATGTTAGTGCCATGTCACACCAATATTCATCTAGGGAGGAGATAATCACAAGAGTCTGCCGAGGTGCTGTGTCTGCAATATCAGAATGTTACAGTAGACTCACACTGGAGAGGAACTTTGCCATTAACTTGCACTTCAGTTGCTTCAGACTATGCATGTGCAGAATGTTACAGTAGACTCACACTGGAGAGGAACTTTGCCATTAACTTGCACATTAACTTGCACATAGTCTTGCTTCAGACTATGCATGTGGAAAACCAGTAGTGCTGGAGAGGGGCAGTGTGTTCTTTAAACACAGATCAAAAGCGGAAAAACTCTTGATTTCATACCATTCGTTCTTCTTGGTTACTTGAAAATAAAATAAGATGACAAAATGTTTTTCTCTGTATCTTCTACATGAAAGAAAAATTACTTTCAGTTGGGAAATGTGTCATCATAAAATACGTTTTTAACATGACAGATACATTCGATTTGGGGTTTTTTTTGTGTTGTTGTTTTTTATTTGCATATGCATCAAACTGGAATGTGGGGTATGGGTGGTAAGGAGCTTTTACCTCTACCAGTGGGATATGAACTTCATCTTTTCTGATTTACTCAGCTTAGATTGGTCACATATGGGAAAATGTCATTTCTGTGCCAGTTTTATCTATGATGTAATGGTGACACTTGAAACATCAGCTTGATTGAGATTGGTTCTGATAATCTTAAAATATCCTTGTTCACACTACATTTTGCAAGCTGAATAAATGGATTTTTTTGTTACTGAGTGCTTCATAATATTTGAATTAGGGCAGTGTAGCTAGGAAGGCAGACATTATTTATACTTCTTGCTCAAATGATTGTAGAAGACTGACCATCAGAATGCGTTTTTATTTTTTATCTAGGTAAAATAGCAGTCTCTTTGTACTAGAAGTTATTAAAATTTTTGCAGTATCTGTATAGAACTGTATGAAATCAGAAGTTTGACTTGGTTTCTTTTGGTTTATCAGTTTGTGTCAGGGATGATTTGAAAACATTTATACTTTACCTGGTAATGTTCCTGCTTTGTGCCATGCATGACTGACTTCCCAGCCCAGTATGAAACCAGCAGGAGGACTGAAAACCAACCAACACCCGTGTGTGGGACATACTAAGCATATGTAAATATTAAAAAAGGAACTTATCATGGTATAGAGGTGTGAAGCTAAGTATTATGCTTATGATTCTTATGCTACTCCTAGCAGTTCAGCCTTTCTGCTTTTGAAATTATTGAAATGAAATTATAAATGCAGTATATAAGACTTCAGTCATGCTATGAAGTGGCTGGGTTCAATCTGTGGAGAGAAACACTTCCACTATTGCACCTTCAGAGCTCCTCCGTTCGTGCTTTTTGTGCAGATTCTATTTCCGGGGCTGGAAAGTTTACTTTATTCTGTGTTGTGTTCTACTATGGGGAAAAAAAAAAAAAAAAAAAAAAGGAAGTAAATTTTCCTTTTTCCCCGAAGAGGGGGTAAAAAAAAGAAAAAATATTTTCAAAAAGTAACTTTCTGTGGCTGCTGCCGCTCCAGCCACAGCTGCGCCCAGCAGCTCCCCATCGCGGAGGAAGCAGCGCAGCCGTGGGTTGGCTTTGCCACCCCTCATGGACGGGAGCAGTACCCGCTGCCCGCTCGCTTTCTGCTCTGTTACCGCTGCTGCCTGTGCGCGCTCCTGAGGGCGCACGAGGAGCCCGCCCGCCCGCGGTGCCGAACCTTCGGGGCCGCGGGCTCACCTGGTCGTGTGCCGGCAGCTCGGGGCCGCGGGGTCACCCTGTGCCGGTGTCACCTGTCACCCCGTGCCGGTGTCACCCCGTGCCGGTGTCACCTTGAGGCGCCCGTGCTGGGCCTGGCGCTGCTCTCGGCCGCGGGCGGGCGGCGGCTCCTCCGGGGCGCGGCGGGAGCGGCGCTGCGCGAGCGGGGCACCGGCAGCCTGCTGGACGGTGCCGTGCTGTGCAGGGCCGGAGGCGCGGCGGAGCGCTGCCTGTCTCGGGGGACCAGCTCGAATCAGCGCCCGAAGCGGCCCCTCACCGCCTACTTTCGTTTCGTGATGGACAACCGTCCGGCCTTTAGGGAAAAAAACCCAGGTGCGAGGGGGGAGGCGGCGGGGCGGGTCCGCGGCTGGCGCTGTGGGGAGCCGGGGCTGCGGTACCCCCGGAGCGGGAGGGGCGGAGCGGCCGGAGCGGCGATCCCGGCGGCGGGTCCGCGGCTGGCGCTGTGGGGAGCCGGGGCTGCGGTACCCCCGGAGCGGCGATCCCGGCGGCGGGAGGCGGGCTGCGGGAGCCGGGCTGCGGGAGCCGGGCTGCGGGAGCCAGCCCCGCTGCTCGCCCCTGCCCCTCCCCGAGCGAATCCAGCGTGGTCGCGCTCGTTGCCTACACGTGCTTGGCCTTCCGTGCCTCATAAGTCAAAATAATGAACATAGTATGTAAAATTTAAGAGTGCGTGATGAAATAGCTCGCCTAGGTAATGCATGTGAGCGATGATTTGTGATTCCCAATTGGTTTTGGACTCCGTGTATTTGAAGTACGTTTTTGCTGATTTTATGAGCTGTGTGTGACTTTGAGGCTTAGTAATTGAAAAGTTGCAGGTACTGGATTGCATCGCTATATATGGGAGAAAAAACAAGTGTATTTAGAGGAAAATAGTTTCCTGCGAATATGTTTGATTTACTATCAAAAACTTGACTTATAGGCAGTGCAGTGACTCTTGCCAGAGAGCTGCAGAATAGAAGGATGAGCTGGTTTTGAAATACTGTTGAAGGTTAAAATGTTTGAAGAACTATGGTCATATTGGGCAAATCCTGAGGAAGATTTAAGTAGAGAAAACCATTTGATACACTGTATAGCTCACCAGTTCAAGAGTTCCACTCTCATATAGAACTGGAAATTTTACCTTTGGTTTCTTCCACTCCAAATTCAGACCATCTTGCATTGTATAGAAAAGGACCCAGCTGAAAAGCAAAAAATAGGAAATTGTTGTGGAGTAATAATGGCTGCCTTGAAATGGTGCTTCAGTTTGTTACTGCATGTTGGGCTCCAGGTGAGGGGTGACTTCCCCATCCCCCAAATACTGCAGTGCCCTTTAACTGCCACAGTGAGTTAGTTTTATGAAAGGACAAAAATACATTTATACAGGAAGAGGATACCTGTGACAGCTTTCCTTGGGAAAAGTTGAAGGAGCTTACTAAAGATACAATGTTGATCTTAATTTCCGGCCCTTCTCTTTTAACCGACAGAAGTGAGCAACACAGAACTGATAAAAAAATTAGCAGGTGCGTGGAAGGAGTTACCAGCATCACAGAAGCAGGTAAGGTTGTGTCCTTTCCCTGAGTACTTTGAACTCTACAGTTGGTGGGGTTTTATTTGCTTTGGTGTCTTGTCGTTTTTTTATTTCGTCTGTTGGGTCTTTTGGTTGGTTGGTATGTTTTTAAAGGGCTTGAAAAAGCACATGTGTACAAAGGTTCAGACATCAAAACAGTTGGGAGAATTGGGAGCTTGGAATAAGTCAGAGGAAGTGTGGTGGGGTGACCTTGGCTGAATGCCAGGTGCCCACCACAGCCACTCTCAGCTGGGCAGAGGAGAGAAAATACAGCCAAATGTTTGTGGGTCTGAATAAAGCAGGGAGAGGTCCCTCACTGGCTGCTGTCAGGGCAGAACAAACTTCTGAGTAGGATAATGAGAAATAAAATCTGATATTCTAAAACACTTTTTCCCCTACTCTTCCCAGGCTCAACATCACTCCCAATTTCTCTGCTTCCTCCTGACAGCAGTGCAGGAGCACGGGAATGGGGGCTGAGGTCAGTCCATCACATGGGGCTGCCCCTCAGCTGCTCCTTCCTGTGCAGTGGGAGAACTTGGGCTCCCGTCCTCAGGGGACAGCCTCCATGAGCTGCTCACAGTGTGAGTCTCCCATGGGCTGCAGTTCTTGAGGAGCTGCTCCAGCATGTGTCCTTCAGGACCAGGCTGCACACGGGGTCACAGCCCCCTCTGGGCATCCCCTGCTCCACTGGAGGCTCCTCCAGGGGTTGCAGGTGATCTCTGCTCCCCCCTGGGCTGCAGGGGCACAGCTGCCTCACCCCAGGCTGAAGGGGAAGCTCAGCTCTGGTGCCTGGAGCATCTCCTGCCTCTCCTTCCCTGACCTTAGGATCAGTAGAAGTGTTTTTGTGATGTGGTCTGCCTCCTTTCTCTGGCTGCAGTTGTGCAGTTTTCTTTTCTGCCTTTCACTCTGTTGGCCCTGGGGTGCCACCACTGTCACTGATGGCCAGTAGCAGGTGCCACTGGGAGCTGGCTGGCCTTGGCTCCATCAGGCTTCTCACAGGAGCCATCCCTGTACCCCCTCACCACCAGAATCTGGCCATGCCAACCCAGTGCAGGAGGATACTTTGCTGCTTGTTCATGCACTTGTATGTGACCTTGGCTTTAATAGTTTTAATCTGTTGCCAGAGAAATGACACAGCTCTCCCTCCATGTGGCTGTGGGCTGCAAACCAATTCTTTGTCCTTTTTGAACAGCAATATTGCATTACATGTGCAATGCAAGTTGTGTAAAGTTGTTGTGCTCTCGTGTGGTAGGTGAAACCTCAGTTAATTTTGATGAAAGGACCAACTTCTTTTGGTTCATGTAAATTTCTTTAAAAGTCATCATATTAAGTCATAATACAATGTTTCATATTGTGTTGGTGTTTCAACCTCATATGAAACAATGAAGTTTCTCTGAGTGGCAGTTTCAAGGGGTAACGTAAAGCAACTCTAGGACATCTAGCTTCAGTTTAAGGC